TCACCAGCAGTCCAGTGCTGTTTCTCTTTAGCCCAGGCAAGACGCTTCTGACGCTGTCTGTGGTTCAAGAGTGGCTTGACACAAGGAATGCGACAGCAGAAACCCATGTCTTTCATACGTCTGTGTGTGGTGGTTCTTGAAGCACTCACTCCAGCTGCAGTCCACTCTTTGTGAATCTCCCCCACATTTTTGAATGGGTTTTGTTTCACAATCCTCTCCAGGGTGCGGTTATCTCTCTTGCTTGTACACTTTTTTCGACCACATCTTTTCCTTCCCTTCGCCTCTCTATTAATGTGCTTGGACACTGAGCTCTGTGAACAGCCAGCCTCTTTAGCGATGACCTTTTGTGTCTTGCCCTCCTTGTGCAAGGTGTCGATGGTCGTCTTTTGGACAACTGTCAAGTCAGCAGTCTTCCCCATGATTGTGTAGCCTATAGAACTAGACTGAAAGACCATTTAAAGGCTTTTGCAGGTGGTTTGAGTTAATTAGCTGATTAGAGTGTGGAACCAGGGGCCATCAATTTTGAACCTTTACACAATATTCTAATTTTCTGATATGATGAATTTGAGATTTTCATTTGTTGTCATTTGTAATCATCAAAATTAAACAAAATAAACATCTGAAATATATGAGTTTGTATGTAATGTATGAATATAATATACAAGTTTCACTTTTTAAATGGAATTACTGAAATCAATCTACTTTTTCATGATATTCTGATTTTATGACCAGCACCTGTAAAAATTTTGTTTTGTCCGATTCATCGATTAATCGAAAAAATAATCGGCCGATTCATCGATTTTTAAAATAATCATTAGCTGCAGCCCTAGTCTGATGAATGTCAGCACGCTTTTGAACAACTTAAAGGATTGCTCACTTGTTCTCCTGTTCTTTCTGCCCCAAACTTCAATCTGCCATTTAACCTGGATATTGATGCCAGTGCTGTTGGGGTAGGAGCTGTTCTTCTACAGGATGATAAAGATGGAATAGAGCACCCTGTAAGTTACTTCTCAAGGAAGTTTACACATAATCGAAGTAGATATTCTACCATTGAGAAGGAAGCGCTTGCACTACTTTTGGCATTACAGCATTTTGAAGCCTACCTCAGCTTGAGTGTAAAACCCATAACTGTCTTTACAGACCATAACCCACTTGTCTTTCTTTCCAGGATGTACAACCAGAATCAAAGACGTATGTGGTGGGCTTTAGTCATTCAAGAATACAACCTTACGATGTGCCACAAGAAAGGGTCGGAGAATGTTGGCAGATGCTTTGTCACGTGCCCTTTAAGCTTATGTTTTTCTTTTATTTTGTGCATTCCAAACATTTATGTTTGGACTCATAAGGGTGGGGGTATTACATGCCTGCCATGGCTGTTTGTTTTTCTTTCCCCTCCCCCCTTCCCTTTGCTTCTACACAGGTAGCAGGAGCTGGGATCAATCTCCCCTTGATTGATCCTCTCCGCCCTTGGACCAATCAGGATCCAGGGAGCAAGCCACTTAGAGATCCTACCCCCTTTGGCTTGCTTATATAGGATCATCCTGGATCCTTTAGTTTAAAAAATTCTGCTTTTATCTCGGGATAATATAAACCAGGTTTGAAGTGTCTGATTGCTAGTGATTGGTCCAGCAACACTTATGCATCGGTGCATGCGTCAAGCCCATAGAGCAAAACACTATCGGTGCGCTTGTCATTTAAACAAAGTAATCTAAGTGATACAGGAGTAGTTTCTAAATGACTGACACACTATACTGTTTAAAAATTATAGTTATTTTACTGTTTTTGCTGCACTTATGATTTCAAATTATTATTTAAAAACCTAGTCCACAAGCATCCTCATTCCCATTTTCCCCTAAACTTTCACGTGATATGTTTACAATCTTTATTTGCTGCATCTAAAAATATCAAAGATATTTTCAATTTAAACATTGATATGAAAAAAAAAAACAACAATATAACCTACAATAAACTAAAATATATAATTGTACCGGGTCATCAAATCAACTCCGTTTAGTCTGTCAAATAAGCTGCCTGTGGTATCTTTAAAGGTCCAGTAGGTATCAGTATTCTGTAAGACAGTATCAAGCTAGTATTAATACAGTTTGGCAATGTATTGAAAAGCTTCAAGATGCCTCATTAACTCATCACTACTGATTGCTAGTTTTTAAAAACGACAAGATTAACAACACTTAAGGCTTTAAAAAAAAGAGGTGGAATGGCCCTTTAGCTTTTGCTGACGGAAGAGCATGCCTGCTGAGATTTATAGGGGTGTAAATAATAATCGTTTTGTATCAATGCATCGATCCAACAGCCGACGATCCGATGCATCGACATGTCGGCAAGAGTATCGATTCATGTTTTTTTTTCCTCTGTTCTATTTTTATCCATTTGTTCCTGGAAGTAATTCTCCCTCCCGTGCTGCGGTGGCGCTAAACCTATTTTGCCCCCCTACCTCGCTTCCTGGTTATACTCTTACAGCGGTGTGTTGCAGTGAGCCTAACACAGACATTTTTGATTTATGCTCAATATTGAAGCATAGTCTGTGCAACACGTTGTAGTTCTAGATACGGCCGAGGCAGTGAGGAAGTGGGGGTGAGTTTAGTCTGACGAAGGAGTGACACAAGGGCCAAAAAGAGCAGAGATCCAGGTGGAAAAAGGGTCCCAGCGTTCTAGCGCACCTTGCTCTTCTAGCGGGTTAAACTTCACGAGTTGTTTGCCGCGGGTCCTTAAAAAGTCTTAAAAGGCATTGAATTCTTCTAAATAAAACTAAGGCCTTAATTGGTATTAAAATGTCTTAATTCAGTCTTTCGTAGGTCTTAATTTTTAAAACATCATAAAAAGGATTATTTTTAGTACGATTTATTTTGTAATCTAAATAAAACGTTAAAATTGACAATTTTTATATTTTTTTTTATTAAAGGGATAGTTCGGTATTTTTGACATGAATCTGTATGGCATCCCCATCACCAGTGGCATGCAATCACACTGACCTACCCCTGGCAGCATCCTGTGAGCAGAGTTATCGTCCAGTTTTGGTCAAGCCGAAAGTAGTCCGTCAGGTTTTTAGGAACAGCGAAATAAAACTTTTCTCTTCCCAAAACATTATGTGTTCAAAAGAGCGATATTTTTGCATCCCAAAAACTTTGTAGTGGAAAAAGTCACACGTCGTTATCAATTGGTCCTATTTTCTCTCTGTTCGTATCAGTGCGCGCCGTCATTCAGACAGCGAGAACCTGACAACAGCCATGTCTTCCTCCGCCCTTTATCGCTCTTTTGAACACATAATGTTTTGGGAAGAGAAAAGTTTTATTTCGCTGTTCCTAAAAACCTGACGGACTACGCCCTTTATCGCTCTTTTGAACACATAATGTTTTGGGAAGAGAAAAGTTTTATTTCGCTGTTCCTAAAAACCTGACGGACTACTTTCGGCTTGACCAAAACTGGACGATAACTCTGCTCACAGGACGCTGCCAGGGGTAGGTCAGTGTGATTGCATGCCACTGGTGATGGGGATGCCATACAGATTCATGTCAAAAATACCGAACTATCCCTTTAAAAAAAAAAAAAAAAAAAAAAAATGGCTCTTCATTATTGGTTCCGTCCCGACAGCGGAACCAATAAAAGCGTTTATGTGGCTGGGAGATTTGGGAGATGCGCCATTAAGTTTTTGTCTGGAAATTATGAGCAAGTGTAAATGTAATGAAAATTGTCTCCAGCCAAGAGTTTTCTCCATGGCTAAAACCAGGGAACATACATGAGGCTCAGTGGATTTAGTGCAAGAAGTCATTCAAGCTCGGAACGATGGGAATTAAGGCAGTGGAGTCGCACATGCGAAGCACGAAACACAAAGCGTCGAAATCGAGTTACCGAGAAACAGCCGGTATTTCTCCGTTTTGTTCCACCCTTGTCTCTGCAATGCCTCCACTTATCACCAAATCAAACATACTAAGAAAACCATACAAAGAAAAATAGCTGCAAAAAGACTTAGCACTGGTTATGTTGTGGCTTTAAAACTGATTAGTTTTGTTCCCTGCTAAAACAAAGTTTGTGAATTCAGTTAAATAATTGTTAAAATATATCTGTCATTTGTGTGTTTTTAGCTTTCTTCCTGTATGGGAAGCTTTTCAAAATTTGAAACATTACTGCAGTGGTTTATGTTAAAATAAACCTTTGGGTTAAGTTGTCGCAAGCGGGTTTTTCTTGTGTTTCTTGTGAATTTGGTCTTTTTTATTTATTTTATTTTTTTTTATTTCTAGTAGCATTAAAAAGTCTTAAGTCTTAAAAAGGCTTGAATTTAACTTGCCTTATGCTGTAGGAACCCTGATAAAAAAACAAAACAAGCCAGCTCTCTGCAGTCAGCTACAATTTTGGGAGAGGTGCAGCAGAGTGTCTGCAGAGGGGGCGGGGATGTTGACACTCTGGAGCCGAGGTATTGCATTGCACTCATTGCACTACTGAAACACTGTCTAGCCTGTAAGGTGTAAAAAAAAACAAAAAAAAAAACAAACAATCGAATCGTATCGTGGTGTTTTTTTGAGTATCGAAAATAATCTAATCGTTGGGTCAGGAAATCAATACTGAATCGAATAGCCATGATGGATGTGATTCGTACCCATAGAGAATTACCTCACCTGTTGCGCTCTAAGTTCTTGCACATTGATGATCAAGTGTCATGAATTGACCATTGTTTTAGTGAAGGAGGCAGTGGAGACAATCTTTTCTTTATCACAATTAAAAGAGAGAAAATTAATCTGACAAAGGGACACTTTTAAGAGGTTTGAAGGTGGCTTTGATTTTTGGTGTTCTATCAAGTCTAGATTTCTTTGTGAACATTTTTCCATAGGACAGACATTCATAAATATTCTGGCCTGTGTGAGTTCTCATGTGATCCATTAAATGTTCTTTTATAAGAACGTTTTCTCCCCATGTCAAATATGGGAAAAGTTTCTCTCCTGTATCTTCAGTCTGCTGCTTCAGAACAAGCTGCTCTTCCTGCTCACCTATAGGGAGCTCCATGGTTTCCTCTTTTGTGCAGGGATGTTCTGGTTCTTGCTGCTCTTCTTTTATCTGCAGAGGTTCTGGTTCCTCTTGGTCCAAACTGGATTTCCTCTCCTGTCCACAGAGCTGCTGGTCAGAGAAATCCTCCTCTTTTCCAACATAATCCTGCAGGCGGTCTGGAAAGACAAACACAGCAGAATGAAATTTTCTTGGTGGATAAAAATAGGACGCCTGACATATAAAAGCACCAAACTCTGTCCTTGAATTTGAGGAACAGGTGGATCCTGTCAAGCAACCTGAAGATATTAAGTTCATTCTGGCCAAAACTTGTTTCCCTACAAATAATTATTTAAGAAAGTAAAGCATTTACATCCAACACCACAGTGACTGTCTGGCAAATGAGGAAGAAATGCGACACCCTAAACTCAGCAGGGTTGTCTGTACACCTCTGCCTGGAAGAGACATATCCCAGCTCAATGTGTCAGAGGTTGAGCAGATTTTAAATGCTTTTCTAAGTAAATTTATCTGTTCTATCATAATAAAAAGAAGCATTCTGGTAAGAAAGAGAAAAAAAAGCCTAAATGATAAAGCCATCTGGAGCATTTCCTCATTTTTTGCTATAAATGTAGCACTCAGCAGGGCAGCAAGGCTTTTTTCTCTGTAAAAATTTGTTAAATCATAAAATGAGTACAGTTATAAAAAGATTACAGTGCCAGAAGAATTCTGTTGTTGATCAGTCTAGACTCTACTGGAGGCAGGAAGGCCTGCAAGGCCTGAACGATGAGGTGATCACCTTCAGTCTATGAAATGGAAATGCAGTATCACATAACAGACATGTTAAGAGCCAATTTCTGTTCATCTGATAACTTATCTGGGTTCCCCATCACAGAATAGAAAAGTAACTCAGCCATGTAACTCAAGAGGAGGATGCCTTTCACTGCCTAAAGCCCCCATCACACCTTGACGATTTAGTCCAGCGTATGCCTGATGTCCCGAAAATCTTGCAAAAATGCTGGCATACATGTGATAAGTTTTGGGAAAGTTTTGTATAAGTTATGAGCATGCTGAAGCAGTTTGAAACATGCTGTCATACGGCAAGTACGTTGAGGAGCTTGACATGGGAGGTGGGTACCCAACGTATGCCAGCATTTGCCATACGTGGGCCATAAATTAGAGGTAAGTTGTGGTGTCTAGCTTATCCAAAATCTATTAGTAACTTGTGTATAACTTATCAAGAACTTATCTGCAACACGTATCAACGTATCTGAAGTGTTCCAGGCATATTGGAAACAGTTCTACTCCAGACTTCATTACCATCATAGGGGGAAAGAGAATGTGAGTGTGATGGATCCTCCCTGTGTTCACCCCCACGGCCACGACCAACAAACTTCCTAGCAGACCTGCTTCTGAAACTGCTGCCACTGCAAACCTTTTTTTCTTTTTCTGTTTTCTTTCTTTTTTTTTAGTAGTAAACAGCAGGTTAATATGCATAAATTGTGCTGTCGTTGAACAGAAGTTCTGGAGTCGTTATGAATACGCTATGTGTACGCCCCAAAACTGCACGGGTTGTTCGTCCCGGAGAGACTGGCATTTTTCATATTCCGCTGGATACCTCTGTTTAAGATGTTGAAACAGTTTTGTGATGCTGCTGCTTATAACAGCAACTGCCTTTAGGGAAATGTTGCCGCATGGGGGTTTCTAAACCCAAACCAGTTCTTAACAATGGGTGGTTTCAATAATTTTTCCAGGAAAAACTTCCCACTCTCATTGGTAGCCATTATGTCGCTTGCCGAACTGCAATGTGGGAGCAATACTCCAGCTACAGAAGCTCCGGAGAGCTAAGATTGCGCTATTATACAAAAAAAAGAAAATCAGCCACATCGAGTGGTGTTTTTGACAGCCATCTTAGATTCAGTCTTAGTCATATTGACGAAAAATATTATAAGTCTTTGTCACATTTGATTCTTAACGATATGTGATGGTTTTAGTCGGTTTTAGTGGACTAAACATAAAAAGGTTTTAGTCAGTTTTATTTTGCAAAATAAAGTTAACCTTTACAATTTCTAATAGCAACCAGATTCTTTACCAGACTGAGAGCTCTAACCTAGATACTACAATTGCTGGGTATACAATTCTGCCACCATTGCTGTTGTGCTGGAAACTTTTATTTATAGAATTCAAATAAACTTTTTTATGAACGAATGCCCTATTTTATAAATGCTTCTCACAAAAGTTGTTAAAACAGCAGATCTAGTGCAACAGATCATATTGGTTAATAAAGCAGACGGACAATAACAAAATGTACAATAAAGGAATGGATTTGACAAACAAGGTTCCCATTCAAAAGCAAACACTTCCTGATCCACTATTAATTATGCATTACACACAGATCAATCAACCTTCATTACTCCAAAAAAAAAAAGCAAAGAACAAAAATATTCCTCTTTCTACTTTAGCAATTTCAGTTTTATTTCTCCAATTTACCCCTTTGTTACCACTGCTCAGGGGTCAGAATAGATTTAAACTCATAGGGTTTTGATATAAAAAAAAGAAAAAAAAATACAGAGAGAACCTACATAAATGCCTTGTAATGCCATGACAATCCAGACATAGATTGAATGAATATGCTACCTAAAACGCTAAGATATTTAAAGGTAGGGCTGGACGATATAGAAAAAAAGCTTATCGATAAAAAACAAATGCATATTGATCGATATCGATAATTATTGAAAAGATTTGAAACCATATTTTAAGTGCAGCTCTGCCTTGACTTTTTATGATATTGCTAAATTATTTAATTTTAATAAAGAACACAAACACAGACTTCCAATTAAATCTTTATTTAACCAACTTTTTTAACCATAAGAGAATTGTTTTAAAGAAAAATAACTTAAGAGACCTGAGTTATGTTATTAAATACTGACAAAGAATAAACTAAAGTGACCAGAAAAGTGACCAAAATAAATATAACAAATAAATAAATAGAATACCCTATTTGGGTGGGAATAGTACACCACCAGCTTGTGGTAATTAAAAGATTGTAGGACTAGGCTACCATGTAAACTCCACTCAACAAAAACAAAAACCCAAATCAACTCACCCTTTAGCCTAGCATTTCTATGGGGTATTTTTTCTCACCCCTATTCTTCTAGAGGTGCTGCTGGAAGCTCGTTATGGTTCAGCTTAGTTTCCTGCTTTAACCTGAGGTATTACTTTGAAGTTGCTGGCCCCTCAGCATTTTTCTCTCAATTGTTAGAACTACATGGTAAACTGCCCAGAACTGAATATATATATATATATATATATATATATATATATATATATATATATATATATATATATTTATTTATTTATTTATTTATTTATTTATTTTTTTCCCGAAGATTCCTCGGAGGAGAGCCGCGTCGGGGCCTACTCCTGCGGAACAATTTCCTCCTCCTCTCCTTGCTGCGACATCTTCATGTGCTCTGTGTTGTGGTTTGAGAGGGCGGCGCTTTGTGACGGCGTGCCTGGGTCCGCGATTGTGATTGGTTGGGAGGAAGTAGTGACTAGCATAAACCTACATGATAGGCTACAATGAGAAGGAAGGAAAACTGCGTTTCTTTATCGAACTTTTATCGACCCTCTTTTTTTCTATTGTGCCACATGTCTATCGATCAATATATATCGTTATTGAATTATCGCCCAGCCCTATGTCACAGTGCAAACATTGCTTTATGATCAGCATATTAAAATAAAAACTGAACTATTTACTAGTAGACAAAAAATAAACAATCTGATGTTATTAGAACCAAATTAAAGGTACGGTGTATTGTTCTACACATCGAGACATGGCTATGAGTTTACATTCAATGGACATCTCTAGGGAAAACAAAACCCTACAAAAGGCATCTTATTTCTTTAGGGTCTCCCTTAGAGAAAACTTCTTCAGACCTCAATTAAACAGTCGATTCTAGCAACAAATGAAACCATTTACAAAAAAGGTGAAAAAATAAAGAAGCTAATTAAGTGATACATATATTTATGTCTCACCATATAATTAAATTTCTACTTACATATTTATTCATTGTATTTTTGGTGGCAATTACCGTATTTTCACGACCATAAGGCGCACCGTACTAAAAGGCGCAGTCTCAGTTATGTGTGCCATTTCTGTATTTAACACACACATAAGGCGCACCGGACTATTGGGCATGTTTTTTATATACAGGTACATGTCCTCTACTACCTTTAAATAGCTCTACTGCGTATTTAAAAATAGAGCAGGAGCAAAACTAAGTATGATTGTGCTTTATTCATGTATTTATTACAAGGATTAATCAAACCTGGGAGCTGGCCGTGAGACATTCCTACTCCCACGCCGTTCGCAGCCTTACTTTGAACAGCGGGTTCACACCGATGTCGAGCGGTTGAAGTTCCTTTGTCAGACCCCCGGGATAACAGCGAGCAGAGCGTTCATTAGATTCACCTTTTATTTCACATCAGCTGTGAGATGGGCATGCATGCAGTCACAGATTAACAGCAATGGTGATGAGTGGAAAAAAACCACCTGGTCTCCTTACATTCACCTCCCTGAGCCAATCTTTCATCATCTCCTCAATGAGGTGGTCTCAAAAGTCCGCAGTAACAACACACATAGGGCGCACCGCACCAAAGGGCGCACCGCACATTTAGAGGGGGAAAAAAGACGTTTATATGCGCCTTGTAGTTGTAAAAATACGGTAATTGGATGCTTATTTATTTATTGAGCATTAATTTATTTATGTATTTATTTTATATACGGTAGAGCTGTTCCTCCATACCTAAAAAATCTTATCTGTGCAAAGCCTAAAAACAGATTTATGTAAACATCCTGTCAGGTAAACTAGGCCATGAAAATACAATATCGAAGTTTCACTACTGCTCTCTAATTAGAGTATCTCACTGGCACATATGGGAGAATTATCCTGCCATAATGCAAGAGCACATCATTTCATTTTGAGAAAAGAATTTCATCTTCTTGCACTCAAAACTTATAATGCTCACACTCAA